GAGAATGAGGTAACAATTTCTAATCCTTCCTTTCAATCTAAATTTGAGATAAACAATGATAACCAGGACCTCCCTACTGCTATCAGGAAAAGAGTTAGAGAATGCACAAACCGACCCCTATACCCTCTTGCACATTTCTTGTCCTTTAAACATTTTCCACCATCTCATAGAGCCTTCCTTGTCAGCTTAAATACGATTGCCATCCTTGCCAATTTATCCGAGGCTTTAACCAATGAAAAATGGAAGCAAGCCATGAATGTGGAGATGGAGGCGTTGGAGAAGAACAAAATTTGGGAGTTAGTGAAGTTACCTGAAGGAAAGAAACCCGTAGGGTGTAAATGGGTTTACACGGTAAAATATAGAGCAGGTGGATCAATAGAAAGATACAAGGCTAGGTTGGTGGCCAAGGGTTATACTCAAACCTATGGGATTGATTATCAAGAAACGTTTGCTTCGGTTGCAAAGATGAACACTGTTAGAGTTTTATTGTCACTAGCAGCTAATGGTGATTGGGATTTGTAGCAGTTTGATGTCAAGAATGCTTTTTTGCATGGAGAATTGGAGGAGGAAATTTATATGGAAGTTCCACCGGATTTATAATAAGGGGTTGACTGCTGGTACAGTATGTAGACTAAAAAAGTCCTTGTATGGACTTAAGCAATCACCGCGAGCATGGTTTGGGAGGTTTGCTAGAGTAATGACAGCTATGGGATATAGGCAGAGTCAAGGAGATCACACTTTGTTCATTAAAACACTCACCTTCAGGTAAAGTTACAGCCCTATTGGTGTATGTTGATGACATAATTGTGACTGGTGATGATGATAGGGAGAGACAACTTCTAAGTCAATGTTTAGCTAAGGAATTTGAGATCAAGACGTTAGGAAGATTGAAGTATTTCCTTGGGATTGAGGTGGCTCTTTTCATCTCTCAACAGAAGTATGTTACAGATCTACTCAAAGAAACCGGCAAGACAGCATGCAAACCAGTGAGTACTCCAATAGAACCGAATCTCAAGCTTGGAGAGACAGAAGAAGATGCTATGGTGGATAGAGAGATGTATCAATGGTTGGTAGGGAGACTCATTTATCTTTCTCACACTCGGCCAGATATAGCGTATGCGGTGAGTGTGATCAGTCAGTTCATGCACAATCTAAAAGAAGTTCATCTGCAGGTGGTATACAGAGTTTTGCAATATCTCAAAGGGACACCAGGTAGAGGCATCCTTTTCAAGAGGAATGGAGGGTTAGTTCTTGAGGCATACACAGATGCTGACTATGCTGGGTCAGTTGTTGACAGAAGATCAACTTCAGGTTATTGTACCTTCTTTGGTGGAAACCTGGTGACATGGAGGAGTAAGAAACAGAATGTGGTAGTACGGTCTAGTGCTGAGGCAGAGTACCGAGCAATGGCTCAGGGTGTGTGTGAACTACTATGGTTGAAGATTGTTCTAGAGGATCTGAAGATTACGTGGGACGGCCCTATAAAACTTTATTGTGATAAAAAATCTGCAATCAGCATAGCTCACAACCCGGTGCAGCATGATCGAACGAAGCACATCGAGATTGACAGACACTTCATCAAAGAAAAGTTGGATAGTGGACTGATTTGTACACCTTATGTATCTACACATGGCCAACTTGTTGATATACTCACCAAGGGGTTAAGTAGTTCAGTGTTTGAGAGTTTTGTATCCAAGCTGGGAATGGTGAATACCTATTCACCAGCTTGAGGGGGAGTGTGGAAGAATGTATTTTACACGTGTATAGACTAAATTAGGAAAGTTTGAATATAATAGTTAGTTTTCCTAGAATTAGGTTGATTTGGTTAGTTTTCTTTTTTAGTGTGATATCCCACATATTATGGGATGTGATTGCCGTTTCTATAGACTAGGGCTCCTGTAAATAAACCGGTTGTAATTGTCATGTAATATACAATTCCTTCAATTTTTTCCTCTCAAATTTCCACAGTTTTCCATTCCTTAAACTCTCTAGAGCATCATTTTTATTCTTGAGAAAATAAACCCACAATTTTTTGGAATAATCATTAATTATATATAGAAAATGCCTAGCTCCGGAATGTGATGGAACTCTAGATGCTCGCCAAAGGTCGGAATGGACATAATCCGTGATTGCCTTTGTGTGATGCACTGCTCTTGAGAACTTGACCTTGCTTGCCTTCCCATATATGCAGTGCTCACAAAAGTGCAAGTCTTGAAGCTTGTTTTTTCCTAGAAGACCCTGCTTCTCTAACTCCTTCAAGCCTTTTTCACTGATATGAGCCAGGCTCATATGCCAGAGTTGCGTTTTTGAAATCTCAACTCCTTCCATTGGTGCAACAACTCCCACAACTGTTTTTCCCTGAAGCAGATATAGGCCATTTTCAAGGGACCCCTTCATAACCATCATCGACCCTTTTATGTCCTTTAAGACCCCTCCTTCAACCTTGATGCAGTATCCCTGTGAATCCATCATGCCCCGAGAGATCAGATTTCTCCTTAACTCTGGAAAATGCCTCACACCAGTTAAAACTCTTTCCACACCATCTACCAATCTCAGTCTTACGTCTCCTATATCCAGAACCTTACAGACCTTGTTATTTCCTAGAAATACCTGTCCACTATTGCACACCCTGTAATTCTAGAACCAAATTTGTGAGGGCACATGTGAAATGAGCATCCTGAGTCCATAACCCACTCCAAACTTGTATTTTCATCTAAAACACACAATAGCTCAGAACTCTCATAGCCATCAAAGGCTACATCTGCATCACCAGAGGCCTCTTGTTTATCACTGCCCTGCTTCTTTCTTTCTATACAATTCTTCTTCAGATGACCCTCCTTGTGGCATACAAAACACTTTCTCTTAAGCTTAGACTTCGATCTTGGCCTATTCTTGTTCTTAAAATCACGTTTTTTTTATCTTCCTCGAACATTTAGGCCCTCAACTGCATTTTCTTCTTTTCCCTCAGTTTTCTTTTTCAATTCTTTTGAAAATAAAGCTGATTGAACATCCTCTAAAGAAAGTGAATCATGCTAAAATTAAGAGTATCTGAGAGATTTTCAAACTCACTGGGTAAAGACCTTAACAGGAGCAGAGTTTGATCTTCATCGTCAATCTTGATCTCAATATTCTCAAGATCCAAGATTATCTTGTTAAAGTCGTCCATGTGATCTTCCAAGTACTTCCCAGGAGCCATCTTCAATGTATACAGCTCTGCTTGAGATACAACCTATTGGCCAAAGATTTGGTCATATATAGATTTTCCAATTGGAGCCACACCGCCGCCGCTGACTTTTCTTTGGAGACCTCTCGAAGAACTTTATCACTCAGACTGAGAATCAACTATGGGCTTTGTCGAGGAGATCCTTTTTCTCCTTCTCCGATAATGTTGTTGGCAGATTCTTTTCACCACCGAGAGCCTCCTCCAACCCCTCTGTTGAACCAGTAATGCCCTAATCTTCAATCTTAACAGCACAAAATCATTTTTGTCTGAGAATTTCTCGATCTCGAACTTCGATAGCCCCATTCCAAATCTCTACCAGGAGCTCTGATACCAGATTTTGAGAATTTGGACCAAAAACCGAAATTGAAAATACCAAAATCTGAAGAACAAATTGAACGAACTAAATATACGAATGAAGAAAAGGGATTTCTGGAAAAACTCAACTAGAAATTATTGACGGCATAACAACTTCTCAAGTCTTTACATCCTCAAGAAATCCCTTCACGCTCACATTACACAGAGTACACAGTTTTTCTCTCTCTACAAGATTGCCTCACATAAAAAGAAAAACACTCTCACTAAACTTACTTTTATATCTAGTCCCAAAACAGAATCAATAGCACTTATTCTGTTGATATTTTTCTAACCAACCGCCTATTAAGAAATCTTGATTCTCTGTATGTACACTGAAACTCCTCTGTAGACCAAGTCAGCACACCTGCTGCCACGTCATACTGCCACATCACCAGCTAAAATAGCAGTCACATCACCAAAGAAAAGGAGACAAATACCCTCTTAGATTGTATGAGTCTTGATTTTTACCCCTTTCTCTTAATTAATATCCTTTTAATCAAATACTATATTAGTTAAAGTGGTATTAATCAAGAGTAAGGGTTAAAAAGTTAGACCATGCACTTTTAAGAATGAGTTTAGTAATTTTCTCTATACCCCCTTAATACTTGGTGATTATCCAAAATGTAGGCACTAACTTTTTGTTTAGGAATAATTTTGTAATTCTACTGGGCATAACAATTTAGAAGGAACCCGTGTATTTTTAATAGAGATTTTAATAGTCAGAGGGATAAGAGTATTAGCTTGGGACAATTTTGCAGCTTGGGGACTCATTTTGTTAGGGATGAAAATGAGATTTGACTATGGTTTGAGAACTAAAAATCATCCGCTTTGCATATTGTCAACATTTTGAATTAATATATTTTGAGAACTAAAAATCATCCGCTTTGCATATTGTCAACATTTTGAATTAATATATTTGTATCCATGACAATTCTTTATAAAACAGTATAGTAGATAGTTGGGATCTTGCATAAATATTTTGCTGGTTGTGTTTACTTGCTAAATTAAAAATACAATTACAATTCTTGATAAGTTAGTATAATGATGAACACGATTTTTGATTTCCCTCTCATTTCCTCTACATTTTGTTCCGGATCTTTCCTGTCCTTTCCGACTACAATGCACAACAAATTAAGTAAATATGTCCTTGGTGTTATGACTCCAATTCTTTAGTTCAATTCTTTACTTTCATGGTTTATAGAACTTCAGCTGTTCTATCACTTCATGTTAAATTTTTGGTTCTTTATGATTATCTTTTGTGTCTCTCTTGTTCATTTTTTTTGGGGATTTGATATGATGTGATTGGTTACTAGAGCTTTTTTATGAGGCGAGCACTGAAAAGAGGGTCAATCTTACTAACTTATTTACTATGCGTTCTAGTGCAATATCACTTTGATTTTAATCCTTTTCTATGTCAATACAGGTGGTCGTCTGAACAGAATAAGAACTAGCCTTAAATACCTTTGCCCAGCAGAGCATATTCCTCCCAAGATTGAGGTGGACATGAGCAATCTCGATATTGGAGACAGAATTTTCATACGTGACGTCGAGGTGCATCCGTTGTTGAAGCTTTTGAGTAGGAATGAAGAAATGCCCATTTGTAGCATACTTGCAACAAAGTTGCAAAGCCCGGAATCTGCTGGGGTTTAGGCACTGAAAAGCACAAAATGGAAGACCTGCCTCTGGTTTGTTATGCATAACATGTATCACAAGCAATTCAAGAATAAGTCAGTTGTTTTTGCTAGGCACTCATTAAGGTGGTTCTCGTGAAGTCTCAAGTAGGAAAAGGAATTTTACATTGTTATATGGAGAGTAATCAGATACAAGCCGGATATTGTAGCACTGGTGAGTCGAATTATGTGCTTAATTCATATATTCTTCTTTGTTTGTTAAGAAGTATCATGCGTTACTGTCAAAATTATAAACTCCAGTGAAATGATTATGCATGGAAGTTCAGAAGCATGCTAATGAATGGTCGTATTGATTTCAGCTGTACTTTAATATTGCCGTATGAAAATGATTTCGGGCTTCTTATTATAGCCTCTTTCTCTCTCTCTTCTTATCATTGATTTATTTAAAAAAAAAAGTTATTACTAACTGAAAGAAATTAATAATGGCTTGTTGGAACTAAAGTTTTCGAAGTGCACATTTGTTCACAATTGATAAAACTTGTGTTAATTAGTTGGCATGTGTTCTCTTTTGTTTCCATGTCCATACTTTATTTTATTTGAAAGGGAATTTCATTTATAGTAAAACGGTAATACAGGTAATTTGATAACTCTGCAGTAAAAGGCACAATCCTCGACTGTGACCGTTTCCACCCGTTTAATTTAATAATGGTCAATGAGTAGCCTAAGACCGCTTGGTTTAGTGACACTGGGGATTCGGGTGGGATGAGGTTTAGGGGAGGTTGAAAGTGAGAAACCAAGAAGGTTTAAAAGAGATTGAGGTAATAAATAGTGTCCGCCCTTAATATATATAGTTTTATCCTTTTTTTTTATAGAACAATGTTAATAATTCTAATTTTTTTATATAAATTGACGTGACATGTGAGTTTATGTTTTTTTATTGGTAAATGTTTTATTGTGAAGTCAATTAAAAATAAAAGATTTCATCTATTAGTAACCAAATGACAACTCACCGCCACATGAGTTGGTATTAGAAAAAAAAAAAAGTTTAGCAGGGGGTGTGGACTACGGCATTGAGCCACGCAGGGGGCGGGTGGTCATGACAATGGAGCGCGACAGAGCTCCTACTGGTGGGGTGGGCTGCAGCTCAGGGGAACCTCTCAAGTGTTTTGGTTGCTGCAAATCCTCTAGGGTTCAGATATACAGATTATGACTAAGATCCAAGGACAATTAGATGCAAGATTTGTTTCGATAGTTTAGTCATTTTATATGAAACAGTTAACATAATTAGCATTAGGAGAGTTGTAAAATATTTCGATTAATGAAGTGTCTCCATAATTTAAACAAAACTAGGGGTGTCAAGAGTGTCACTGTAGTTCTCATCATAATATTAGATCTTTTCCTTCTTACATGTTAAAGTTTCCATCCAATTCTTCAACAATTTTATACAGCAACTGTTAGGATCCTAGCTCAGAAAATCAGCCAAACACTAATACCTCACTCACACACCAGAAACAGCAAGAAAATGAGAATAATTGGAGGGAATTTTATTAATCTAATCAGCCAAGAACACCAAATTACACTGAAATGTAAAGGATAGAACGGAGAATTCGAGTACTCCGGGAACTCCTAATTTAGTGGTATTCGAGAGACCACCGCTCTCCCTAATCTCAGTTTCTCAAAACTCTCTAAATCACAACATACCTCTAGTGAGTTACTAAGCCCTTTATTTATACTAATTCCTACTAACTATACCAGCCCACTAATCAAACAAGTTCCCAAGTCATTAACGGATCCTAACATTACCCCCGCCTCAAAGAAACACCTTGTCCTCAAGGTGTTAAGTAATCACAGCTGTGTGTCTCCACTTCCTTCCCATTCCTATCACGCCAATTCCATTCAACCCCCCTTCTGCCACCCCGCTCTTTGTAGATCCGACCCCAATCGGACCGAAATAAGAAGACCTAGTCCAAATGTCACTGGAATTGTCCTTAATCGCGTTGGAAGTGCGTAGCCCAGCCTTAACGGCATCGGAACCAACCCAAATCACGCCGGATTTGAGAAACCCAGCCCTTGGCTCACCAGAATATGCCCTAATCGCACCATAATCACGAAGCCCAGCCCCAATTGCACGGAAATCAGCCCCAATCACGCTGGAATTCCAAGACCCATTCTAATTGCTCCAAAATCATCCCTCATGATACTTGGATTCCAAGTCCCAGCCCTCCCATCGAGAGACCCAGCCCCCAAATCGCCAGAATTGATCTTAATCGCGTCGGAATTGCAAATCCCAGCCTTCATGGCGTCAGAACTAGCCCCAAGTACACCGGAATCAACCCCTTTCATGCCGGAATCGTGAGGCCCTATCCAAACAACAGCCAAATCGTCGAGCCCAGCCTCCGTCGCGCCGGGATCTGTCTCCATAGCACCGGAACCAGCCCCTTTCACGCCGGAATCGCGAGGCCCGGTCCAAATCGGTCCGGAATCAGCCCCAACCGCGACCAAAACAGGGATGGGTTCCTTGTTCCGAGGGTACCCATGCCGTCCCAGCCCCGGAGCAAGCCTCTCCTCCTTTAACTCCGGCTCCCATTCCGATTCCCGTCGCCGAACAAGCTCCGCCGCCCTCTCCCGACGGTCGCGACCTCCGTCTGCCCTCCTCCCGTTGTCTAACAACCACTCACGCTGCAGATCCGGACCACCCAGCCCCATATCACGACGGATCTCACGCTCCTCCATGAGACCAACGTCTCTCCGGCGTCGTAACTCCCTCTCGCGGTCTCGATCTTCGCAAATCGGCACTTCCCGGCGAAGATCCGCCCGATTTGGCACCTCCACTCCAACTGGGTCGACACAATCTGGGCTCTCCTCGCCCCGAGGTGCACGATCTCGCCTCTCCCCGTCCCGTCGTTCGCCGTCGCGACCCAACTCGGCCTTCTCAGTCATCGGCCGCGCCGCCAGCAGTGCCTCCATCCTTCGCAGCACCGCCTGCACGTCTTCCATCTGAGTCCGAACCTTCCCCACCTGGTCTCAGAGCCCCCCGATACTCCCTCCAGAAACCTTGAGATTACCTCTCAGACTAGCCCTAAGTTTCTCTCTTAACTCAAAAAGCTCTATGGATCGTAGATGCTCTGATAACATTGTTAGGATCCTAGCTCAGAAAATCAGCCAAACACCAATCTCATACTCACACACCAGAAACAGCAAGAAAATGAGAATAATTGGAGGAAATTTTATTAATCTAATCAGTCAAGAACACCAAATTACACTGAAATGTAAAGGATAGAACGGAGAATTCAAGTACTCCGGGAACTCCTAATTTAGTGATATTCGAGAAACCACCGCTCTCCCTAATCTCAGTTTTTCAAAACTCTCTAAATCACAACATACCTCTAGTGAGCTACTAAGCTCTTTATTTATACTAATTCCTACTAACTATACCAGCCCACTAACCAAACAAGTTCTCAAGTCATTAACGGATCTAACAGCAACTAATGAGAGTTAAACGCAAACATCTCAAAAAATTTTAAAAAAACAAACAGAAAAAATAAATGCACGGAAAACGCGCTCTCATGTTTTTGGTAAATTTTGTTGTAATACACAAACATGCATGTATTAGGACACTCTTTGATTTAGTTGTAAATTTGATTAAGTCATCAAAATGCATTTTAGTGAGCCTTAATCAAATTCTAGTAGTAGAGACTAATGACCCATTATAAGAGCCAGGAGAAACCAGCCTGGCTTCATATGTCATCAAATTACATTTTACTAGGTTTTCTGAATCCAATTTTTATAAGTTCAATATTATAGGCCTCGTTCATTTCGCTGATTCGAGTTTAGAATTTGAGTTGAGATGTGATTTTATGTGAGAATTTTTTATTATAGTAAAAGTTAGATGTGATTGTTTGTGAGAACTTTTTACTGTAAAAAAACTCAAATTCTAAATTCAAATTAACGAAGCGAACGGACCTAAAGTATTCCGATCGATACTCTTTTTTCACATCCTTGACTCAACCGAGACAAAACAAAAAACATTTTCCAAAACATTTTTGTTGGTTTTTATAGTAGAGGTTGACCCATTGTGAAGAGCCAGAAGAAACCAGCCTGGCTTTATGTGTTAATATACTATGGCCCCACATGTGACATGACTACGAGTCGCTATTGACCAGAAAGCGTGTAGTATACGTGCCATTTATGTGTTCTCCATGGAATTGACTTTTGACGTTGCCATTGCTATGAGGCTTAATACTCGCCATGTGGACCAAGTCTTTGGACCCCACGTGGGCGATTTTTCATATCACACAATCCATAAGGTGGGCCCCAGACGGCGCATAAATCCTACCATTGGCTAGACATTAGAGCAAGTCAACACTCTTTTTTGCCCTTTGAATTTCCCTTTTGAAATTTGTTAAATCTTGTCTAATGACCCTCATTAGTGTCTCTTTCAAGTGCTCTGCAAAAGTTTCAGTATTTATCGGTACACGTCTTTACCTGTAGATTTAGTTCTAATTAATTTTATCGATTTAAATTTTATATTTTATATTTTTATAATTAAAAATTATTAAAAAATATCATATTTAATTTTTTTTATTATAGTTAAAAATTTTTAAAAAATATAATATTTTAATTTAAATTAAAAATTCGAATCCGTAAAGTGAACGAGGTTTTAATATTTATCTGCGGTAAAATATTCTTATATTACCGTTTATTTTACCGTTTCGAGTTTAGAATTCAAGTTTTGCTACAATAAAAAGTTTTCAAAAACAGTCACATCTAATTTTTTTGCTACAGTAAAAAGCTCACACATAAAATTACATCTCAACTCGAATTAAAAACTTAAATCAACGAACTAAACGGGTTCTAGTTATTTACGATTATTTTAAAATTTATACTGTCTTAATTATTAAATGAAATTTCTCCATTCACAAAAATTTTATATAACCGGATGGGAATATATTCCACTCTCTTATAGAGAGTGGACCCTATTTATGGAATCTATATGAGACTCACTTGTGGGGTACATTTTTTTGTGAGAGAGTGAAGATTTAACCCAACTGAGACAAATAAGACTCCGTTTATTTCATCGATTTGAGTTTTGTTACAATAAAAAATTTTAAGAAATTATCATATTTAACTTTTTTTCTACAATAAAAATCTCACATAAAGTTACATCTTAACTTAAATTAAAAACTCGAATCAATGAACTAAATGAGTCCTGAGATTACTCAGAAATCACAATCTTTTGACCTTTTACGTTTTGGTTATTTTTTCCTAAAAGAAAAAAAAAGGAAGTATGGGTTGTGTCTAGTCTGACAAAGTCAACCCTTCAAGAGATTCTGCAGTAAATCTCACTTATTGAGAAAAAATATTTTTGATATTAATTAAAATTGTTGTATAACCTAGCAAAAGACTTCAAATTTTGGTTAGTTAATTTTGAAAATTTAGAATGTTTTTGACAGATACACCTTTCCACCAAAGATGTATTAATGCCTGCAATGTCAACAATAGATTTTCCAGTCTTGTTTCAAATTACTCATGTAGTTGGGGGTTTTCCCCTTTTGAGGAATACTCTTGTAAGTGTTTTAATGAGGTGAATTTGAAAATTTTGATCGAAAACTGTTATCTGTCAACCTTTGTGTGCTTAATTTTTAGTGATTTTGGTTATTACTAACAATACTTTTCGTTTTTTACTGCGTAGAAATATTATGCGTTGACGCTTAGATAGACTTTAAAGATATTTAACTTACGTTTTTTCAAGAAAAAAAGTAGTTCACATGCTGCCAAAAACACACACACACACATATATATAATGTCTTAAATTCTACCGACGGATCAATTCGATAAATGTAATTTTTTCGATAGTGTGTGTGGCATCATTTTTTATATGTATAACACTCGATTATTTAAGTGTAATATTTAAAAAAATTGTGGTTTAATACATATAATATTGAGTATTACACTTAAAAGACACCGAATATTACCCATATTTATGAATAATGTTACACGTGAATATAAAAAAATTACATTTATTAGATCTGTATGACTACTGAACTCAAGACTTTACCTATATATATATAAGAGAATAATGGGTATATGAAAAATATCTTACTTGCACTGTTGAGTTCTGAACCAGATTTTCATCATTCATCGTTGATGAAAAGCACACAATAAGGATGAAGATTCCCTATTATAAATTCTCAAATAAATAACGAGATTCTACGATAGATATAAAAACATACCTTATTAGAAGGACTCTATTTTAAACCATCAAATCTTTATCATATTTTATTAGTTTTATCCCCATATATATATATATATATATATATACACACACACAGACACAGACACACACTCCTTTTGCATTCATCTTGCTTGGATCTAACAAATGGAAAAATAAATATTTATTATGTGTGGAGTAAAACTGTAATAAGAGAAACACTCGAGAGTTACACCCAACATATTAAATAGTTAGATTGAATAATATTATTGAGTTCCCTTGGAATTAGCAAATTAGTGTAATTTGTAACCTTTGATTCTACATATATCTTAGGTCATAAATGAACAATTATAATATTTCAAAGGGAATTTTGCGCTCGCTTTTTTGAGAAAGAAAATCTCAAGATGGCAGACTATGCTTTAGGTTCTAGAAATAATTCAAAGGAAAAAAAAAAAAAAAAAAAACATCTTACATTGTCAAGGGGGTATAGATTAGATTTTATCTTCACGTACGAGTTTTGAATCACTAATGAGTAAGGAAGTTGTACGAAGATTCTGAAACTCACTCTAGATCTTAATTTATGATTTTCAAGCTAGGGACAATTTGGCGACAAACCTCCAACGATTTAAAAACTTTGTCGTTTTTTTTATTTTCTATTTTTTTTTTTTGCACGTACATTGAAAATTTCCAAAATACCTTTACACAACAATTACACAATTAGTACGTAATCCAAATTCCATATTACATTACACTGACATGAACGTAAGAGCATGTAATAATGCTCCTTTTTCTTTTTTTGCTCTGAATTAATAATGCTCCTTAGCAGCCTGAGATAACATTAAAAAAAGCCAACTAACAATGCTTATATATCCAGAAAAGCAAAAATTAAAAAACACATCATAGAGTTTAATTTAAGCTTTTTTGCATGTTCGTGTCGCCGTCTAATCTTTTGGGGTTTGACACTTTCATATTTGAAAATCTTTCTTCACAATATTGATCCCTTAATTTAATAAAACAACAACAGTTAACTTTGAGCATCATTATGTTGTTTTAGCACTTGTACTCCCGAAACTTTTTGAGGCTTAACACTTTCATTCTTGAAATTTCTTTTTTCAGTCTTTTAATTCTTAAGATCATGTTCTTTTTATAACTCGAATCACATCTTAAACTTTTAATTATCGTGTTTTTTCTCGCATAAATTCACGTTTCAACTCAAAATCACAGAAAAAACGGGACTAATTAATTATTCACAGAGTTTCTTAAAGTAAGAAAACATACAATCTTTTGGCATCATGTGTAGTTCATCATTTTCCTTCCTTCTTTTGGTGGTTTGCTCCTCCCGCATTCCTCTTCTCAGACGTCAATCAATATTGCTAGATTGTTCACCTTTCTTCCTTCTTTATTACTTAGGCATATATCTTTTTTATTTTTTATTTTTTCTTTCTGAAATTGATGCATATATGTTTGTGCGAGTCCTCCCGCATTTGTTGGAATTTTCTTTTTTTGTTCTTTTCCAACTATTAACTTGATTAAGATGCCCCTAAAAAAATAATTAAGATGGTTAAAGAATCTGTGATGCTTGATCCTACTCTTCTGTTAAAATAAAACAAAAAACTAGAGTAAATTATACTGTTTCAATAATTTAGAGACTAAATTATCAAAAAAAGAGAGGAGAAGAAAAAACAGACGGGAGTGACAATATCATAAGAAGTTTAAGAAACACAAATAGTGAGAGAAACAAAAAAAAATAACCAAAAAAAAAAAAAAAAAACCATACGCATGAAAAATTATTATATAACATAGATGGGCAAAAGGGCTTGACTTGGTTTTGGTTTTGGACAACAGAAAACAGTGGCAGTGTGTATATTATTATATTTATACACATACATATAATATTAGCTTTTTCAGTTTTGAGGAAAGTATATATATACACATTATTGGCCTCTAGAAATGGAGACATCCTTTCCGTTAGGTGTGGAAGTACGTTGCAAACCGCGTTCTCATTTTCACGACCCCGACAACGCCCTCTCTTTCTCTTTCTTTTCTCTTCTCCACAGAAGAAGAACAAGAAGAAGACCCGATAATGGAGATTGGATCTTCTCCTCCTTTCCGGTCGCCATTTTCTTCAACCTCCAATTAAGGCTGAATTTTGATCTCCCAACCATCGAATACGCAACAAGTTGAGGTTCCGTACCATGTGATTTGGCGATGCGTTGGTTACCTAGCATTTCCTTCTCGTCGTCCGGCGGTTCCTCGTCTTCCTCGTCCAGATCGTCGCCGGTGGGAGGAGGAGACGCCGGAGAGAGGAGGTCGGCCGAGGACAACGTGCGAGGAGGAGGATGGCGGTTCGGTTCGAGAGTGAAGATCACGCGCCAGAGGAAGAGCCGGCATTTGAGCGACCGAGACTCCCCAGGGATGGCCAATTTGAGGTCTTCGAGCGGCTACGATAAGCTTCCGGCGAGGTCGTCGTCGACGTCGGGGATTCCTCAGCCCCTTCCGTTGCCGGAATTTTCGCCGGGTGCTCGCTGGAAGGAAAGGAGCGCCACCGGGTCCAGTGCCTCCGGGGATTTCGATCGCCCGTTGCCCTCGCCGAAGGCTGGGCCGAGCAGAGGAATTGACGACCGGGAAAGGGATAGAGCTGAAAATGCTCCAATTCGGAGGTAAAAAGGGGAAAAAAAAGAGAAACTTTTTCCCTCCTAATTTCATATATTTAAGGAAATTGGACACTTTTTTTCAGGGGGAAAAAAAAAACTTTTCTCCTTTGGGAATTGTGTTGGTATAACGAATTAGCATAAAAACTACATTGCGTTTGCAATTTACTTTTTTGGAGCTTAATCAATGAATATTTTCTTCTTTAATCTTATTTTGGTAAGAATTTTAAGCTGAGTGATGTATTGTGCGGTGTCTTTTTCTGATAAATAAGAAGACAACACAACAATTTTCCTTTTCTTAAAGTAAAGAAGTTCTTGCTTTTTGGAAATGTAATATGATGAATGGTCACAGTAAGTATATACAGCTTCAAATTAGCCTCAAACATTTTTGAACTCTTGGTTAATTTTCTTGTTCTTCAGTCTTGTTTATCTATCATGCTCGTTTAGTTCGCTGATTCAAATTTTTAATTTAAGTTGAGATGTGACTTTATGTGAGAGGGCCCGTTTAGTTTGTTGATTCGAATTTTTAATTTAAGTTAAGATGTGATTTTATGTGAGAGGGCCCGTTTAGTTCGCTAATTCGAGTTGAAATATGATTTTATCTGAGAGCTTTTTACTGTAGCAAAAAAGTTAGATGTAGAGCTTTTTACTGTAGCAAAACTCAAATTTTAAACTCGAATCGGTAAAATGAACGGGGCCTTTTACTGTAGTAAAAAAGTTAGATGTTACTGTTTCTAAGAGTTTTTTTACTGTAGCAAAACTCGAATTCTAAATTCGAATCGGTGAAATGAACGGAAAATTTTATTGTTTTTGAAAATATGATTTGAAAAAGAATAATGCTAGACATCCCAAAGTTAATCTCAATTGTTTTGGTACTCAGTTACTTGTGATATTATCAATCTCTTAATATTGATGGCATGTTTTTCAGCACCAAGCAATAAAACAATAACTCCCGTACCATATAGGTTGGTATTAAAATATTGAGATTAGAGTTGAGGTACCTATTACCTATCATTATTCTATAGAAAGAGTCTAAATGTTCATAGTAATTAAAAGCTTCTCACAGACAGTAATGCTGATTGTGCCGTTAAAAGGAAAGAGAGATAGGGAAAATAATGATGACGCTTATGATATGTTAGTGTCACCGTTTTGAGATTCTTGACCAAGTGTCTTATCTGATTTCTTTTTTGGTTCTTATTTCAGTATATTTTCTGTTCGGGACAAGAGAAAGAATGCAATAACAGGTCAATCGGAAACGAGGGCTGCTTGGAGGGGGCGTCAAAATGAGAATGGTTTTGATAATTTCAGAGTGGAGGTTCCAATTAGGAGTGCTCCAACTAGTCCTCTTGAAAGTCCTGCACTTAGCCCCCAACGACCAAGCTTTGATCTGGTCCCATATCATCTTTACATGGTTCCTAGAGGAAATCAAGTCTGGTCTGCACCTGAGATGCCAACCACAGATATGATGTCAGGGCTTCCTCCCCCAGCATTCTATGATTGTTCTGCGTTGAGTACTGACTGCTCACCATCAAGCAGTCCACCCAGTAAAAACATCTGCCAGCTCTGCAGAAGCCCAAACGGGTCTTCGTCACCATTCCCTGCAAGGCTATCCTTCGAAACTGCTTCAGCACGTCGGGAGAATAGCGTTCCTGTAGAGGTTCATCCATTGCCTCTTCCACCGGGAGCCATCACCATCCATTCGCCATCATCTTCCATTCCCCAAGTTGCAACTAAACCAGAGCCAGTGCCAATGAAAAGTCAGTGGCAAAAGGGAAAGCTTATTGGTCGCGGAACATTTGGAAGTGTTTATGTTGCTAGCAATAGGTATATAAAATTCATTTCACTTTTTATACTAGTTTCTTTCGCTGCTGCATATGCTAACTACATTGTACTTTTTCCCTTCTGAGTAGAGAAACTGGTGCTTTATGCGCTATGAAAGAAGTTGAACTATTTCCTGATGACCCCAAATCTGCAGAGTCTATAAAGCAGTTGCAACAGGTTATTCTCCATTATTTTATTAGTATGAATCTCTTTTTCTTATGTGTGTGTGTGTGTATATATATATGTATTATTTAATATCTGTGGAGATTATTTAACATGTATTTTGCTCTTTTTTGACCATTAGGAAATCAACGTTCTCAGTCAGCTCAAGCATCAAAACATTGTTCAATATTATGGTAGTGAAATAGTAAGTACTCTCCTAATTGTATCTTTAGACATCCAGGCTCATAGCCAAAAATAATTTATAAACTAAAATTCCGCGGCAGGTTGAAGATAAATTTTATATTTATCTAGAGTATGTTCATCCTGGTTCGATAAATAAATACGTCCGGGAACACTGCGGAGCCATTACAGAATCCGTTGTTCGCAATTTCACCAGACATATTCTCTCTGGATTGGCTTATTTGCATAGCACAAAGACAATTCACAGGTATGATCACATTGTTTGGTCTGATGAACTGAATCAATATCTGCAAGTATTTGGTGATTTTCTTTCCATTGATGCAACCAATTATTACTGGTGAAAGGGGCTACGTAGATCAGTTCATGTTTTAGATACTACTTCCTCTTTTTTCTTTAATACGTGCAGAGACATTAAGGGGGCTAATTTGCTTGTTGATTCATCCGGTGTCGTTAAGCTTGCCGACTTTGGGATGGCGAAGCATGTGAGTAGTGGTTATTCCTGTTTGGGTGGTGACATGACTACCTAATCAGGGTCCTTAACAGAACCATTCCCCATGTTCTTTTCTTAATGATAGTTCGATTTCCATGTTTTAGTTTTCTGATGTTTGGTGTCAATAATCTTACTTTATTTGTTGCGCAGCTTACTGGCCAAGTTGTGGATCTTTCTATGAAAGGAAGTCCATATTGGATGGCTCCAGAGGTATCTACTTGTTGCTTTCATATTTATTTTGGGCTATTTCTTTTGATGCTGATATAACTTCTTTCTTGCAGCTCATGCAGGCTATGATACAGAAAGATAACAGCTCTGATCTTGCCCTTGCTGTTGATATTTGGAGTTTGGGTTGCACTATTGTAGAAATGCTCACGGGAAAACCTCCTTGGAGTGAATATGAAGGAGTGAGCACTTATATCATGTTACGATATAAAAATTGCTAGAGTAGGAAGGTTATAATTAAAAAAAAAAAAAAAAAAGGAAAAGCCACAAGCCTCATTTAAATTCCCTTTTAATTTTAAGCCACTGCCTGAAAACTGTAGATATGTAATCATCACGTTTGATTCAGAGTGTCACCTTAGAAATATTGTCTATGAATGCAGGCTGCAGCCATGTTCAAAGTTTTGAAGGATACTCCACCGATACCGGAAACCCTATCAAGTGAGGGCAAGGATTTCTTGCAATGCTGCTTTCGGAGAAATCCTGCGGACAGGCCAACAGCTGCCATGTTACTTGAACATAGATTCTTGAAAAACTCACACCAGATGGATGTCCCTTCTTGCACACATGCATTTAGTGGATTAAACTTAATGGTAAATATTTAATGCCATTTGTAATGTTTTTGATAAACTCTAGTTGTTTGTATTCTAATTTTTTGTTCATTTTCACAGGATAAACCCCATAGTCCAACAACAGAACGATCTGAAAACAAACTTAGTCAGTCACCAAAATCGCTAAGCACGCAAGTTGTTGGAGGAAATGTTGCCTCTGAGAGGTAAGAGCGCACCGCTTTGCCAATGCCCAAGCCTCCTCGTCTAACAGGGGATACATTTCTTTCTTTGGTTACTTTTGCCTTGCGTGACTGCCACCATCAGCTTCATGCAATATTATTTTTCTTCAGTGAGAGCGGACAGCAATGTCGTCCTGATTCTTCTGATGCAACAATTACATCTCGCCATTCTCCACGTTCTACACTTGAGGGCGTTCCTGGTTTATCTCCTCCGCACTCAGCCCGCAAAACAAATTGGCCAAGCTATCGTGACGCTAAAACAAGTCGGGTTTTCAGTTAATGCACGGAAAAGAAATTCCTGCCATTTCTAATTGCTTTTGGTATAGTGAGGTCCCAAAATTGAGCTATACACTTAACGTAGATGCTCCTATAGGCGTGTTGCGGAAACAAAGCGTTACTGTAGTTGGTTTGCTGCCGTGTTTTGCTTCGTTTTCAACTTCTGGCTAATTTAGAAGCAGTTTTTGATGCTGACTTGTTTAAAAATTCAGCAAAAATCCTGTAACTAAAAAATCTGTTGGGTATTTAATGTGCCATAAATGGTGTCAAAGTGTATACGTAGATAATAGAATGTCAAAATTGTTGTTCTCGTCTTGTTTTCCTCTGGGGAGTAATGATACGTAATCAATCTTCAAAGGGAGCTTGAATTCTTTACCATTGGGGTCGCCTTTTTTAAATATCACAAGCAGTCAAGCCTACAAGTTACCTAAACAAATTATGCAAAATAAATAAATAAATAAAACAAAAAAAAAAGGAAAACAAAATAATTAAAAAAAAAAACAAAACAAAACAGGAAAAACAAACTAACTACTAAAGTTAAAAAAACGACCACAGTGGGAGTCGAACCCACGACCTTCTGATCCGAAGTCAGACGCGCTAATCCACTGCGCTATGCGGTCATGCTTGTCCTCAGATCTCTTATTTTATTTTATTGTAATTAGTTAACAGACAATTTCAACAGAAATGGTTACCTAGCAGATGACTATCCCTAACTTTTGTAGATGTGGACGTCACTTTGGTCCTTAACATTTAAAACATTCTATAATTAATCTTTGTAGTTTTATTTTATTTTAATTTTGATTTTTTCATTAATTAATTGTTATAATTAAGAATTGAAATCGGAAACAACTAAAATTTAAAGAGTATCGGTGTAAATTAATTTTTGTTTTTGTTTTTTTGTGTTGTTTTAGTTTTTAATTTTTATATATTTTCAATTTTATGGTTAGAAAGAAATGGACGAACGGCATAGTGCGGTCTCCCCTTTCACTTTCTTTTTTTTTGGCCGGGTTTCCGTTAAAAAGAACAGAAAACAGACTAACAGAGCGTTATTCATTGTTAGAAAATCATCCCTAAAGGAAGAGTACATAACAGATCTTGCATGAAAATATGAAATGTATCTGTATTAAATATTAATTTCTGGCTCAAAATGAAAAACAACCTTTTCTTTTTGTTTTGTTTTTGTTTTTTCTGCTCTGCGGCATTTTTTTTTTTTTTTTTTTTCAATTTTGTATGGGAGGTGGTCATCTTCATCTTGAGCTTGCAGCACCAAAAAAACGACGACGGGATAAAAAATAACAATATCCTGGAAGAACGACAACCGAACATAAAACGGCAGTTCTTTTGAAAATCGACAGATTTTCAGTAAACGTATTAAAATAGATAATAATAAAAAATCCTGGATAACAGCATCAACACATCATAAGAACGACGACATCTTGAAAATAAGAATAACCTAAAACGACAATAAGTTTTGAAATACGAATCCTGACATAGACATAATTAGTACACATTTTGATAGTTCTAGTTTTTATTTCTAATTTTGAGATACATATTCGTAATATTATACTCGAGAAACTAAAAAAATATCATTTAATTTTGTCATTTAAAATATTTCCAATATATTGTTGTTCATTCTAATATTTTTAACAATTACAATAATAAAATAAATACTAATTTTTGATATATTGTTGTTGTTTTTAAATATTTTATCAATTATTAATTATATTTAAGTAAAATTTAGTATAGTATATTTTGACTCTAATACAGATATCTTAGAAAACATATTTTTAATTTGTTAGGGAAAAAATAAAATGGTAAATGGATAGTTATGTTTTCTTATTGTTATTATTTTAGGACATTTGAACAATGATAAGAGCAGTTGTTGTGAAACAGCAATCCACAACATACTCCTCAAAATCTGCTTCTAGATTGCAGTTTTACATCCAAAAATGGAGCACGTAGTTAAGAGTATGAACTATAAGAATATTAGAAATCCTCCGTTTAGACTTTTAAAATTTTTTAAGGTTAGTTACATAAATGTTGTTGGGATTTTGGATTTGTTTTGTTGTTATTATTTTGCAAATTGATTTGCTAGCTGTGGGATTGATTTGCTGCAGGATGTTGATTTGGAAGTTTTCTGTTTTTGTGGTCACTGTTCTAGGAAAGTCTATTGGATTGAATTGGATTTTCATACCTAAGAAGTCAACTATTGCAGGATTTGTAAACTTTGGTTTTAATGGATTGATTTGTTGAAAGCAAAGATATTGATATGCTGATTAAGTCGTCCAGGTACATGGAGAATCAATTTGGATTAATTTGGTGAGAGTCAACTTTTGGTCTTTTTTGGTGAGTTGGAAATTGTTGGAATAATTGATTTGTGATTGAGATTTTCATGAATCATCTATGTTTCAGAGAAATACGTCCAGGTTCGTGTGGTTTTATATGAGAAGATTTCACGAATCAGCTTTTGACAGCTTTGTTGTAGAAATTGTTGCAACAGAATTTGCTACAGATTATTGACAGTGAACTGCATTGAAGATCTTTGACAGCTGAATTTTTTGATTATTTAATTGAAGTCTCATAATGGTCTCACTACGCCTTTTAAGTCCTAAAATTTTAGTGAGTCACATTATTTTGTGAGTATTTATTTTTCGTATTCATTTAGGATAAGGAATTTGGGTTTTCGGAGAAAATTGTATTGTTGAAGGCATTTCAACGTTAAGTCGAGGGGAGCTCGCTGAGCAAGTCCAATAGGTAGTTGCAAGTTCATAGGCATCATAGTTAGAAAGAATCTCGTGAAGATTAAGTCCATTTGAGTTGTAATATTGGTTACTTAGTGGATTGTTCATCATCCCGGCGTGACCCCACAGATGTAAGTAGTTATCGAACCACGATACCAATCTCTTACGTCTTTTTACAATTATCCTCTTACTTTTATTTGTTGCAACGAATTTTACGATGAATTTAGTAAAAAGACTTAACCAGTAATTTCAAATATACTCCTTAATTTCAAGTTTTTCTTAATTTATTCATCCCTCCGCACTCTGTAGGCAAAAATAAAAAAAAGGATGAAAAGTAAAAGTACTTTGTATTTGATAAAATTTATTGCAAATATTTGTTTCATTAAAAAAAATTTATGAAAAATACTTTAAACATTTTAAAAACATGAAATTCCACATCTTCTTTTTGAATCTTATGTTTTATTTAACAGTTATGTCTTCTTTAAATTTTCAAAATATTTTTCAGATACTATTTGAGAATATTTTTGTTCTTTGCCTCACTTTTTTCATCCATAAAGTGTGCGAGGAATGAGATTGAAAAAAAAATCTTCAAAGGGCCCGTTTAGTTCGCTGATTCGAGTTTTTAATTCGAGTTGAGATGTGATTTTATGTGAGAGCTTTTTACTGTAGCAAAAAAGTTAGATGTGATTGTTTGTAAGAGCTTTTTACTGTAACAAAACTCGAATTCTAAACTCGAATTAGCGAAATGAACGAGGCCTTTATCATTTCTAAGAAAATGGATAAAAATGAGAGAAACTTATAAGAACAAAAAATTGTTCTTATGTAGAACTTGGCTAAGATCTAAAAACTATCGGATTGGTCTGGTTCGGCGGTTTCAGGCAGATCATGCATAGCTATAGTGGTCCGTCTCCTCATAGCAATCCGGATGGCGGTCCTGACTAAACCCTAACGGCAGTCCTGGATTGCATCAGCGTTGGTCTCGACTCAACCATGTCATCCATCCTTGACCTGACCTTGACGGCAACCCTAACTTGACTATTTTTTTATCACGATTTGCCGTAGAGATCTTAGCCTATCGGCTTTATCCAAACTCAAATATGTTGTCAGCTTGACTCCGATAACGATTCTCACTTGTTGACTTAACCCCAACAACAATTCCCATAGGGGTCTTGATCATGGACTCAACCTTAATAGTGATCCCAACTCGGCCTTAGTATCGATCCCAGCTCGTCAATCTGACCCCGATGTCATTGCTGTTGGGAATTGTGTTCTAGAAGCATGCGATGTAATATGATATTTATTATTTATTTAATAAAATAGTTTATTCATTGTTTTATGTGCATATATTAATGAATATTTTATGAATATCAGTGAAAATTCCATGATTATTTATGTGACCTTAAATATTGTATATAAGTGTTATATGCGAGAGGATAATATTTAGGATAATAATCAAAACGATATTCGTTGTGAATTTAATTAAAGTTCAAAATCTTTAATTAAAACATTACTAATACATGTCATTCACATTTAGAATGGAACAGTGTTATCCGCATTGTTAATATGACGAGATATTAAATGAGTGTATTACATATGATGAGATTATGTGGAACAGAGACGCAGACACAATATGAATTTCTGATAATTTCCGTTAAGTATAGAAATTCTAATTGAGTCTACCAATGGTCATATATAGAAAAATCTTAATCTTGAGTTTTTAGCAGACACCTATTTATGGATTTGTGTCTTTTAATTTACTTGGTATAGATTCTGAGATCCTGAATCATATTCCTTGTATTTTGAAGACATGATGAAGTGAGTAGCCCGGATGTTATTATATGAGATGGAATCCATTCCTTCTTGAAGGAAGAAGTAGATAAATAGTTCTCTTGAGGGTTGATTTGGTACTTGGACTAGTAGGAGCTCCGATTCATGAATTTGTTTTATGAATCACTGTCCATTAGAGAATCAATTGTACTCAAGAATAAAGATGTAAATAGAGAGGTTAACGGATTTTCATCTAACTCTAATTATGAATTATTAATGGAAGATTAATCTATATGTAATGACTATATCAAATGAACACTTCACAGTTCAAAAGTAAATTATGTCTATAATTATGAGAGTGCAATTCCAAGTTTATAGTATAGTAACTTTTAGAATAATAGAATTAATTAATTAATTAAAGTGTTTAATTAATTATTTATTTTATTGGAGCTCGAAATTATTGGTCCATGAGTCCCCGCGTCGTCCTTGTAATCCTACAAGAAACTAAGGGTAAAATGAGAATTTTAGAATTATAGAATTCTAAAATAAAATGCTCAAAGATAATTAATTAATGATTAATGATTAATTAAATAATGTGATTATTTAAGTTTAAATTTAAATTTTAGAACACACATGTGAAGGTGTTCAGATGGTGTGAACGCCCAACACGGTGTGAGTCCTATTGGGATTCAGTTGCTTGCTCTTCAAGTTGTCCATTTGACTTATTTGATAAGTTGTTCAATTTGAAATTCAAATTAAATTAAGTTTGACTTGAATTTGAATTTGAATTTAAGTTAAAACTGGACTGTAGGATAAATGCAGAATTTTGCCCTATTCCCTAGCTACTATATGTGCCTACCATAGGAAGGAATCTACCTAAGGTGGCCGGCCAACATGTGGACATGGGAGAGAGATTTTGTTTCAAAAAGCAAATTAAAAGTGAGAGATAATTATTAAATTTTATA